GAATGCCATAAAAATATATATATACATGTTTGTTAATAAACAAGAGGCATATGTGCACAAACTAATAGCAGAGATTTACCAGTATAAAACACAAACCACCATCGATTCTTGATATAAAACCTTTATTATATTCTCCAACATTGCAAACGCAAAGATCACTTACAAAATCACAAAAAAACATGCAGGGTGTAGTTCGTTTTTTCAAAAAGCTAACCAGTATCAAAATGAAATTCACTTGTCATTTTGCTCTGACAGCTCTGAAAAGTATCGTCAACAGAATAGCTACATGTTATCCTTCAGACAAGATCAACAAGTATGAGTGAACTGTCCTTGGAGTGAACGACCATACCAACTGTGATAACAGCTACGTGAACTCAGCACTTGTGCAGTTATCCAAGTATGATCATTTTATTGGTGAGTCCTAAGCTAGCATAAACGTAACCAATCGCAAGAAGTACATGTAAATTAAAAAATTGAGAGACTGCCTTCTTGCAAAATAGTATCTCCATTCCCTGGAATGAAACTTACACAAGTCAACACCTGGCAATATTGGACCATATATATTACTGTAGTTAAATAGGGATTCTTTCACTCCTCTATTGCAAGAAATAAATAATTATTTTTAATTATGCAAAAGTTATTTATTTCTTGTTTGCTATTTCTTCTGGCTGTGTTTAAGAGTCTGTAATAACCAACAAACAGAAGGATTAGCCATTCCATAATTTTATTTGTTCTATTCTTGTCTTCAGAAGTCCATCAGTTGTAGGTATACTGCTATAGCATAAAAGAATGTCAAAACATATAGTACTCTGCCACACCTCCACATAAGCAGATTATGATGTAACAATGCCCTGCTAAGATGAGGTTGTACAAACAAGGATCATTTGCTTAAGGATTGATTCCAAGGCCTTACTTAGTTAAGTTTGTAGCTTCCTTCCATTCACCTTTTTATTTATCCAAAGGTACAAATTGTTTGTACAAATTAAATAACCAAAAAGTCTGTCACCATACAGGACATTTTTGTCACCAATAAGGGGGAAAAAAAATTGATGCAGATTGGTCATGGAGATTGAGATAACTGACATTAATTGGCAAATTTGGCCCTCTTTTGTGCTCCAGATATTAGGGTTCCCTGACATAAAAGAATCAACATAACTGAGGAGAAAATGCTAAGACAAAGAGAGAATTTGGCCATTCCACTTCAAAAAACAGTCAACTTAATACGGTTGGCAAGGTAACAAAGGTCCAGATAAGTGGGTTCCACTGTAATAATCCCTATACAACTAGAGATGACTTCTCTTTGAATATTTTGATTTCAGTAGAGCCTTAACAGAGTGTAACAGTAAGAAAAGAGTGACAGATAATTAAGTGTTAGGGAGATATTTAACAATGGCTATTCCTAGCACCATCACTTCCTCACTGGAGATCTGTCACACACACACACACACACACACACACACACACACACACACACACACACACACACACACACACACACACACACACACACACACACAAAACTTAGATTAAATCCTGAAATTACATCAAAGGGAAGACAATAATGTGAATTTTGCTACTCAAATCGATTTTAAACCTTCTGGTTAAGTCTGTTCTGGTCTGTTTCTGTCCATTCTGCTGATTATGTCCACTGAATCAGTATGGTTGGAAAAATATATGGCAAATTTAAAGATTGAAAAATATTTTGGCAGATTATGATTATACAACATACTTCTGCCTGAGGAATTAATTTCTTGATTTGTTGATTCAGGATTATGCTCAGTTAAAATGCATCTTTGAAAAACACTAATGCATTCTCATACTTTTGTTGCAAAACTTTTTTACAGATTCCCATCTACAGATATCAGTGAATATGGCTTGAGTAAGTTATAACAGTTCTGGTTGGAACAATGTACATCATTAGAGAAACTTTACATGAACTAAAATGTACACTTTTCGGAAGTGTGTGATGAAGGATTGCTCAAGATTTCTCCATCTCGTATACTCAACATGAAAAATCCATTTGTACCAACTGATGATGACTATGAGGTAACTGTCAGAAAGGTATAATTGACAATATTCAAAGGGCTACAAATATTACTACCAGGTAGTCAAAATTCATAAACTCATTCAGCTGTGGCTAAAATGATTCACTAATACCTTTGCTGTTGTTGCCACAATTGATTAGTTGGTTGATTTAGTTTGGTTTGTTTTTTTAACATAATATTAAGTGGAGGAAGAACCTCGAAAGACCATCAACACAAATTGGTTGATCTGTGATAAAAACTCAAAAACTCATTCTACAAGTGATTTGTAAAAGCAAGTACCTTAGTACACTTGGGCACATGGAACTTCTGTTGATTTGATGTTTATTTCAAATAGCTGAAGTCATTTAGACACAAGACCTCATGTTTTGGTAGATCATTATGGCCTTTATGCCATTTTCAGTTGAAGAGAATCTATATATGGCAGCCAGTTTTACCGCTGAAGAAAATCCAAGTAATTTTGAGATACCAAACACCACTTATGAAGAACTACTGACCTCCTAAAAGTAACTGGCAACATTCTCATTTATACAGTGGAGGCAAATAATCACATGACAAGCATCTTAAACCACTCTGCCACAAATGTCCCTCAGACTATAGGTATAAGTCTTGTATTAAAGACTAGAAGTGGGAGATAGAAACTGTGACAACTGGATTTAAAGTGCAGAATGTTACTACTATGCCATCAGTGATGATAATGATGCTGTTGACAATACAGTTAACTGCAATGACATTGATTTTATGAATACTTTGGGAAAAATGATTCCTTGACTTTCATCTATTTTTTTTTCAAAAAATCTACTTTTTCTTCCTCCACTTAATATTATGTTAAAAAAAAGAAATATAGCAAGTCAAACATTTAGATTCACTCTTCAAAAGACAGTGTTCGAGGTTCACACTTCAAAAGACAGTGATCGAGGTTCACACTTCAAAATAAAGTTTGTGTCTTCTTTACATGATCAGTACAATAACATCTTACTGCTGTTTTTTTCAGAATGTAGAAAAGAGTCAATGAAAAAAATGAAGAGAAGGGACAAAATCACACTCAGATTGGTCAAATCTATTTAGGTGACAATAACTAAAATTTTAGCTCTATATGTTGTTGTTGTTGTTGTTGTTTTTTGGCTTAACGTCATTTTTCAGCACACCATAGGCCAGATAGGTAGAGGAAGAAACCAGGAAATCCGCAGAAAGAACCACCAACTCACGAGAAGCTACTGGCAAGCTTACGCATATCCACATTCAATGAATCTTAGACTCGAACTCATGCAGACAGAAGTGAGATGGCAGTGATCTGTAACAGACAGCGCTTTAGACCACTGGGCCACTCTAGGCCCCTTCAGCTCTATACGTATTTAAGTTAATGAAATGTAGAGCTTTATATATGGTAGAAAATAAAAAGTACAACTTGAAACCAAAGCAAATCCCCACTGAATATAAAAATAAAGCATGTCCAAACAAAGGAAAACAAAACTGGGTTCTATGATACTTAAAGACTGCCCCTACCTCTAATTTGTTTTCAAATTAGTGTCTGCTTGGTTTGGAGTACAATAAAATTGTGAGTGAACTAAAATGTATTGAACCATGGACCATACAAAAAGTAGTCCCATTTCCTACCTGGATGTTGGATCCTAAGAAACTTATGGAAGTTTGAAGAAACTTCTTAACTCATGCCAGTACAATTTGAAACTGAATGCTATAAAAATAGCATGAAATAATATTTTAACCATAACAAATATTATACTTCAATACATAACTTTAAGGACGAAAAAATATTCACAAAATACAAAATCACTTTGGAGGGAAACATTATATCTTTTGGAATCCTATAATGTAGTGTTAGAACACTTTGATTCAACTATGACAAAAATTATTAAAAAAAATGTCTATTTCACCACCATGATGAATGTAGGTCTTACCAGTTTCTCTGGTACATGATCCCACTCAAAGTGTCCATCAAACAAGGTGACTGACAAGTGACCAGCAAGCTGAAATGATAGAAAAATCTATATAAAAGTAAATATAAGATGAAATATTTGACAAGAAAAATTAAATTGCAAACATAAATACCCTGCTAAAAGGAGTATGTCTTGAGTTGTTAATATACAGACTGGTATGAAAGCATATAAAACATCATTCATGCATTAGACTTAGGTTAGTTACAGTAACCTACTTTTGGTATGGTTCAGTCACTTTCTTGAAATACATCCACATTTTCCATGAGTGAAATCTAGTCCAAGATATTGATGGAGAAATGATTGTATAGTTTAAGTCACTCAAGATATGAACATTTGCTCAGTGTATAACAATATAAGCAATGAGATGGTGTCAGAAATTTGTATATTATAATTACCTAATGATAAATTTTATGTCAATTAAATTTGATTCTGAGATCCTATTTATCATAAAATGGCAGAATGCTTCTATTGATCAATGATGTAGCTATGTGACTGTTAGATTTTACTCAGTATACCATTGTTTTATGATTTGATATTATGACATTGTTGGGTGTCATGTCAAATAACATTTTCTTCTGTGTAACAATATGATATTTTTTTAATGTCACATCGAAGTAAAACATTGTTTATGATTTGACATTATAACACTGTTAGGTGTTATGTCATATGATAACATTTTCTTTTCAAATGATATTATGACATTATTAGGTGTAAATCTAGGTAAAACGATGTTTTATAACTTGGCATTCAGACATAGCTATGTGTCATGTCAGACATTTCTTTTGATGTGACATTATGACATTGATGGTGACATTATGACATTGTTTGGTGTAGTATCATAATATAAAGTTGTTTTCTGACTTAAAATTATGACATTAATAATACATTATTTCTAATTCAGAAATATTTATTTTATGGGAATGAATTTGAGAAAATGTTAACTATCGATTCATCCAAAGGCACTTTATTCAGACAACAAATCCAAGTGTAACAAGGTCAAGACTTCTTGAGTGGCCTAGTGGTTAGAGCATTTGCCTCGGATGCAGGAGGTAGTGGGTTTGATCCCGGCCAAGTCATACCAAAGTCTTATAAAAATGGTACTAACAGCTGCCTTGTTTGGCACTCAGCATTAAGAGGATAGTATTAGGAATGGTCAGCCCTGTGTCAGGATAATGTGGCTTCGGTGGGGTATCATGCTACATGTCTGTGGCATGATACTTCAGTGCTACTCATCACTATAAACTACCACACATCAGACATCATAGCGATATGACTGAAAAATTGTTAGAGCTATGTTAAAAAAATCCAAATCACTGTAATAATGTATGAAATATACACATTTTTAGGGACAAATAAGGGTTCTGCAAAACAGTCTTCACCTACAAACTTTGATACAATATATATTCCACAAGTTTTGGAAATATGAACAACAACGTAAAACATAAAATAATTAGTAGTGTGCATTGCAGCAACATGCACCAAAATGCCATTAGAAATGATCCTACGAGATCCTACTAACTTTTTAAGCAGGCTACACAACAAAGTATATCAATAAATGAAGGAAATTAAGAATTTATTTTTATACTTACATATCTGGACTTGGGTGTCCAGTTTTGTCCTGCAAGAACAGCCTGAGCAGGATTAGTTGTCAACAATTCCAGTATCTCTGCTAATGGTTTGCCTTTAAACACTGGGACAAAGTGTGTGCCCGTCAATACACAATTGCTGAAATGTGAAACAAATATCAATGGACAAGCAACTTTAAAAAAAATATATCCTAAAAAATTCTTAAGGTGTAATAACACTGGAGAAAGAATGAATATAATAGCAAAATCCAGCTATAATAACAGAAAAGTCAACATGTATCAAGATCTATACATATAAAGTATGGATTCAAAAGAAAACTTGTGTCTAACCAATTTTTTTACTTTGCTCATAAATTTTCAGGAAACATTTTATATTCCCCTACCCATGATCTCTCTAGACTAGCTAAAGTTATTTAATACAATAAGCTTTTTGTTTTATACAGATACTACAATTAGTTGTAAAAGTTGTTTTCCTTAGCCTGCCAATCAAGTGTCACACATGCAAGAGAGAACAATGTGCCATGAATTACAAAAGTGCCATTAGTTTTAATTCTATATAATGAAGTTTTTGTAAACTGGAAATACACTAATGCCTTAAATTTGTGACATATCAGTGCATATTTACAATCTAGTCTTCTATCATCAACCTGCTACTGGCTAAATTGTCATCTACTTTTCTTTCTTGGCTGTCTAATTTCTACAATTTAGCAAAAGAAATTTATTATACTGATTTGGTCAAGTACTTTTTAATATTAAGCCACCTACTTCAAAAGAAAATTAGAAATCTAATAACCACTTGCATGGTCACTGTAATGAAGGAGACTGGTAAGAAATCTGCTGTTAAAAACTACATATTGATAAAACTTTTGATTCAAAAGGTGAATCAATTACAATATTTTCAAAATGGCTACTATTCTGGTCATACTGGATGTCATATTTGTCTATTTTCATGTCCAAGATAGTAGACATTATAAGATATCTTCCTGTGAAAATCTCATTTTGATATGACTTTTCATACACAATGAGTAACAAAATTTCCAAGATGGCAGCTGTGGTAGTCATAATGGATGTCTGAATGGCAAAATATTTATTTTGATCACTACAAATTATGAATGTTTGTTGCTTTATTTTAGGCAGGTGTAGATGTACAAGACAGACATTGAAATTTTATGGAAAATTATATCAGCATTTAATTCAATTGGGGGGAGATGGAATATCCAATTTTCATCACATTAAAATTCCTAATGTTTCTGAGGATAATTCATATCGTGTAAGGTGACTCAAGAGTAGACTCATTTTCAGAAACTCTTAGCAATGCTTCTATTAGCCTGGACAAATGCCATTATGTTCTTGAGTAGCTTTCACCTCCAGTCCAGACTGCACAGAATAATATTTCAATTGATTATAACTGTACTCTATCCTCATCAACTCAACTAAACATGCTCCAAAACATCAGTTGCCGACACTGCATTGGATGATGCAACCAACTTTGGAATTCATCAGATAGCAGTTTTATACTGATTTATTCAACAGTCCAACACTATGTACTAACAAAAGATAAAACAAAGTTGTATAAAGATTTTTATAAATAAAAGTCAATAATTATGAGACAACTTGTGTACACCATAGTCTGATCTAATCTACTGAATGGTGGGGTGGGTGCAGTCTGAGCAGCAGAGAGGGTGAACAGACATTTTGATTGAGACCTTATTTATGAAAAATAAGCCTCGTACAGCGATGAAATCTCAACATTAGTGGCATTAAACCAGCACCTTTAACTTCATAGGAGCCCCAGCAAGGTTAGCTTGGGCTGCTACTGTGATGAAGAATTTTGTATTTCATTATTTATGTGCCTTGTTTACATGCTGGTCACTCACCATTTGTCTTATCCTCTCTTCTGCTCTATATCAATAATGATTTTGCCAGTGTCAAAATAGGAGTTTGATACCCAATGTTGACACTGTTTTGCAGCTTTTGTCATGGCCGACCTGCCACAGCAAACTGAATATGAAGAAATTCCAAGCCATTATTAAGATATTGAGAAAATAAAATCCAAAAGTGACTCAGTGAGAAATCTCAGGACATTTCTGAATTTCCCCTGATGTGAAGCCATATAGGGAAAAAGTGACTTGCGAGTCCTATAAATCGCATATAGATATGGTGCTATTTAGGTTCTAATGCATGGCTGGTTCTTCCCCTGTAATGACTGAGTCTGTGGTCGCTTCAGGACAATCAAACTGAATCGTTGTGTAGACAATCCTGATTATGAGGAATATATCTATAAAACATTTAATTTTGCTAAAGAATTGCAATATCGTTATTCACCATGAAAAATTATTCAACCAATAGTTGAGGAATTAGAAGAAGATCAAGAGGCTTCAGTTAAAACTGGAAAAGGTATTAATACAAGTTCAACTGAAAATGGTCTTGTTATGTGTCCTAAAAACGTCCTTGCCGACGTGGATATATTAGAAATTTTAATTGGCGGGAAGCAAGCTGATAATAATTCTCCTGAAATTATCAATAAATTCTCATCAACGATTATTTACCGATGGCATTATGGATATTAACGTGTATCGGTCTCTCATGAATGAAATTATTGATGATTATCATGGTGACTGAAAAGTTGCCTGACTAAATTACTGATTAAATAGATATAATTTTTATAATAGATGATCATAGACGCTGCTCAACATGGATCAACCATGGTCAGGGTGATAAATTCAAGATTACCTCTATACAAAAAATTCTACGGAGATGGACTTGGTGATATTGCTAAGGGTTTATTTTCGAGGATAGCCCCAAAAGCAATACTGATTGCAAAGCAATTAGGCATGAAAGCTATTGATGTTGTCTGTGAAAAAGGTATTAGTGTTGCTGGTGATGTTACTAGTAAAGCATTCTCTGCAATCAAGGATAGACTAGCATGATTAATATGACAAAAATCTCAGCCAACAATAAAACTGGCCAGCACCATGGAGATGCATGCAAGTGTTAGTAAAATAATAAATCAAGCTGAAAATAAAACTAGCAGCAATGACTTCATCAATAATGACTGATGAAAAGGAAAACAATGTAGCAGCAAGATTGATAGCAGGCACCAGGGTGCCCCATAGTGGTCTTCATAATAGACGATAACACCAATAACATAACATGTTCAAGCATTTGACATGGATGCGCAAGTTCTCAAGGATGAGTCTGTGCATGATTGTCAATTATCACAACAACCAAATCTGTGTGGAATGAATAGAAGATATAAGTAGCTATTTCTTACCTGCTGAAGCATTTACTAAAGCAGAAGGTTAAATTTTAAAAACAGATAATACTGAATACGGAACTGATATTCATATTGGTTTTGTTAACAAATGGCATCATGGCATTGTTTGACAGCACCACTTCGAAGATCAACAGAAGAAATATTTAATCAATTCAAAAAGATGTTGACATTGCCACTATGATAATTTGTCTTTCAAGATACAATGATGATTATACAAGAACAGCTGGTCCAACAATGATGTTTTCCATGGACACACCAAATATAATCAGTATGAAATAGGATGACCAAGAAACATTGATAGAAATGCTGATGCGGATATGCAAAGCATGATTATTAATGTTGATCCAGATTACAACTTAGGATTTAGTTCACGTCAAGCAATGTTATGTGGAGGTAGCTGAAAATTTTCTTGCATGATTCCATTATCTCACATCTTTGGAGTTTGCAGATAGGTATGAAAGGTTATTTTCGGAGCCAAACACACAGCTGTACTAGTACAAGAAGCAACCAATGATGATACAATATGGCAACCGACAGGTGATGCTGGCAAAGTAATACTGAATAAGCTTTCATTGTGGATGCTAGTAATGACTCCAGCAATTTCTGAAGAACAGCAGCTCCTCACTTTTATGGACAGTGGTGGCAAGTCAAAGTTGTCATGATTAACAACAACCACAGATGCTGTTCAATGCACTGTTAATGAAATATTTACTTGACAAATGGCATCACAGCAAGGTGTTTCTGAACCATTACATATATTTGTTGTACTTCAGAATATTGCATGGTTAAATGATCAAATGTGTTCTGCAATATTTCACAAACTCGGTGTCAGCAAAGTTTCAATGAGCATAAATGGACATCAAGAACCATTGGAAGAATAATATTAAAACATGATCAGATGTCCTGTGAAAATAAATTATTGCTGACTGAGCATCAACTTGATAAATTTAACAAAGCTAAACAAATAAAGGAATACAATTGAATCTTTTTGTGGGCTCAAACAAAGATGCTATTAAAACCAGAGGAATATTTCTGCTTCTTGCAGCTATCCCAGTGTTGATAGCCACAGCTGCTCCAGCAGTTGAAAAAGCAGTTTGAACTGCGGCTAGAATGGCTATTAAGAAAGCAGCCAGAAAAGGATTAAAAAGAGATGACATTGACCCTGAATGGGTCTTGGTCTGAGACTTCCAGGGATTCAACGATAGTGGAACTA